CTATATCTAACCTATTACCACACTTAACCACCTCATCTATAACTAACCTATTACAACACTTAACCACCTCAGCTATAACTATAGTCATCACACAACACAAGGAAGCATTAACCTAAGCGACCCTAGTATCAGTTAAGGACACAATGCAGAGGAATCACAACTCAACAATAGCCCGCCAAGAGGGCAACATAATGATCTCTTCTCTTTCTCACTTTTACTTCACGATTCTCTTCACAACTTCGAGCAAATGCTCCAGAGGTTCAATTATCACTTATACTTTCGCAATTCGTTCTACAACTGGAGCCGACGCTCCTCAATGTTCATAAATCGCAATTCTTCCCACAATTTTACACAACAAACAGAAATACACACCAAAGCATGGATAGTACAACGAAGCCATGAAAGTCACAATATCAGACTCACGGTCATGCTAGACACCAATGTATAGATACTCGTCACCATGCCTATACATCGTACTCGATCAATTAGCAAATAGCAAACAAGACTCAACTCCTATTCCCTCAAGCTAGGGTTAAACCAAACACTTACCTCAACTTCCACGGCCAAATCAATCCACAACGACCGTTTTCCCTTTCGAATTCGGCTCCAACTCAATCAAATCTATACAATAAGGACATCATAATATTAATATAGGCTAAATAAATCAAACCCAATGCCTAGATATAGATTTCCAAGCTTTCTTCCCAAAAATTCCAAAATCGCCTCCGGGCCCGCTTGGCCAAAACACGAGGTTCAGACCAAAATTAAATCCCCCATTCATCCACGAGCCCGAATATATAATTTATTTTTAAATTCGACCCCAAAACGAGGTCTAAATCGAAGAAAATCGAAAAGCCCTAACCCTACCAATTTTCCCCAATTTCAACCCTAGATTGCATGATTTACGCTTAGAAACTTACTAATTAATGAAGGAAAATGAAGGAAATGAGTGGGAATTTACTTACCCAAGAGGTCTTGATGAAAGGAAGCTTCAATGGAGGCCTAAGGACCTTGGAGAAGAAGGAACTCGGGTGTTTTTATGAAAATTTCGCGACCATACTGTTCTGAAAATTAAAATATAACTGGGCAGATTTACCCTTTGCGTTCGCGGAAATGGGGATGCGTTTGCGAAGGGTTACACGGGCAGAGCATCGCGATCACGGGTCGAGTAACGCGAACGCGTAGAGGAAAAATTACTGGGGTCCAAGGTTTGGCCTACGCGAATGCGTGAGGCCTAACGCGATCGCGTTGAAGGGAACGCTGAAGCTACGCGAACGCGAAGTAGAGAGCAGTGAAGGCATCGCGATCGCAGAGGGGAAGTCGCGATCGCGAAGAAGGGAGGGCCTGTGCACTGCTGCAGATTTTTCCGCAGAAATTCTAAATTCTAAACCTCCCGAAATACCCCCGAAAACACTCCCGAGCCCTCGGGGCTCCCAACCAAACACACACACTAACTCAACAACATCCTACGAACTTAAACGTGCGATCAAATCGCCAAATAACGTCATTTACATCAAATTAAGCCTCAAAATCCATAATTCCTTCCAAAATTTTCATAGAACATAAATTTTTCCGTTTCAAGTCCGAAACACGTCAAATGACGTCCGTTTTCAACCAAACTTTACAGAAAGCGCTTAAAACACATATAAGACCTGTACCGGGCGCCGGAACCAAAATACGGGCCCGATACCAACACTTTCTAATCCATTTTCATTTCAAATTTCCATATAAATTTCAGAAAAAAACAATTTCTTTTAAAAATTCATTTCTCGGGCTCGGGACCTCGGATTTTGATTCCGGGCATACGCCCGAGTCCCATATTTTTCTACGGATCCTCCGGGACAGTCAAATCACGGGTCCGGGTCCGTTTACCCAAAATGTTGACCAAAGTCAACTTTAATCATATTAATATCAAAATTCATCAATTTTTACACAGAATTCATATTTAAGCTTTCCGGCTACGTGCCCGGACTGCGCACGCAAATCGAGGCAAGTAAAAATGAGGTTTTCAAGGCCTCGGAAGCACGGAATGAAAGAGAAAACATGTGATGACCTTTTGGGTTGTCACAATTTTTACTAAGCGTAGCCAATTATTTTATTATTTGACAACACTTGAAAAGTGTATTGTTTACTGTTAAAAGGTACGCTTCATAAGTGTTACCTAAAATATGTATCCAAAAGTGCTTGACAAAGGCCACCCCTAATAAAGCGTCCCCACAGATACTTTTGGCAACACTTTTCAAGTGTTGTCTATAAAAGTGTGGCCTTAGGCCAAATTTGTTGTGGTCTATTGACAATTAATACGACTGCGTTCCCTTTTGATTCCGGCGTTTTTTCTATTTTTCTTTGTTTTCATGACTGTTCAGAATTTTAGTTTACTTAGTGTATTTGTCCAAATATCTCCAATAGGAGCTTTAATTGTAATTGATGCAATTTCTGTAAAAATGATGTTACAAATTTCAGCTTTAGTGTTTTCTAAGTAAATCTTTCTTAATTCTTGTTCTTGTACTCTTCTTCTCTTGCTTTTCTATTGAACCATTTCTATTTTGGAAAGTTTTCATTTGACTCATGCTTTAGTTGGCGTTTTAAAGATTCTTGCATTTAATTTTGTTTATCAATCAATAGAGAAGTTCTTCAACTCTATTCTTTTTAAATTCTCATTTCTTACTTGCAAATTGTGTTTAGGTAAACTCCCCTTTGATGAAGTACTTGCTAGATTTGGCAACCAAATAACATCCAGATGTTGTTGTTGCAATATGCCTAACAGTGACTCTATCCATCACACTATTGTGGAGGGAGAGGCAGCTAGGCACATTTGGAAATACGTTGGTGTTCCTTTAGGAATCACTCACCACCAGTGGCCGATCAACAGAGTTATTAAGGAATGGTGGGACATTAATCCAAAAAATGCTATACACAAACTTCTATTACATATAGCTCCAGTGGTAATCTGTTGGGAACTTAGGAAGAGTTGGACGGCATGTAAATATGGCGAGCAAAAAAAATTCTACAAAAGCAAACCATCTGGCATATTCAAGCAGCCATTCAAATCACCTATCCAAGTTATAACTTAACAGGTACATGGCCCAACATTTGCAATATGATTGAAAGACTTCAACACACAGTGAATATCAAGCAAGTCACGTGGAATAAACCTATGGCGGTGATGATCAAACTCAATACAGATGGAAGCTTCAATAGAGAAAATAGAAAGGCTGGCATCGGAGGTATTGTCAGGGATGGTGAAGGAGATTTTCTGATGGCCTTTTCTCTCCCTGTACACACTAGCAGCAACAATCAGACTGAAGCAACGTCGGCCAACTTTGGCACTAAATGGTGCTTTCAACATGGGCTACGCATGATTCATATTGAACTGGACTCCATGGTGATTGCCAATATGCTTCTCAACAGGGGAACCGGCAACCTTAAGTTAAAGAATGTTATCATGGATACTGTTCATGCTTTCAGAGACGCTACTGTACAGATCTCTCATTGCTTCAGAGAAGCAAATCAAGTGGCGGATTTTCTCGCTAAGTTTGCATCTTCTAGTGGAACTAGCACCTTCTATCACTCTCTTCAGCAGTTACCAAGAGAGGCCAAGGGACTATTTCAACTAGATAGATGGCAACTTCCTTCAATGAGAAGAAGATATGATAAATGTAATTTTTTTGTAAGCAGATTGTATAGTTTGTATTAATGAAAGGAATCTAGGCTCTCCTTTCTTTCATTAGTATAGAGGTAAGGTCCATGTCCCCCTCTATTTTGTATCTTTTTGTTTATATATAGACATGGTAGGTGTCTTGCCTAACCCCCCACACCAAAGGCTATAGCCTGAAGGTGATGGCTTCAAATTAAAAAAAAAAAAAAATCAATAGAGAAGTAGAATATTTGTCCCATTTTATATGTATTAGTCGCACTGCTGGAGAACTGCTAATATTGGAAAAAAATTGTGGGTTCTCTGTTAAACCTTCCTTTTCAAGTAAAGTTTTAAAAGGTGGAAAATCACAGCTAGCAACTTGTATTTTTTATTGGATTCATGACAAGTTTCATTTGCTGTTTTCTTACTTGACAATATTTTTGGTTTGAGTTAATGTATTGAATAGTCTAAGTAGTTTAAAATTACGCTTTCATCCTTTATGGTGCCACATTTATAAATCAGGGACAATACATAGATTGTTAGCGAGATTTTTTTGAATACCCATTGGTTCTTTGCAGAAACTTTAAGCTCCTTCAAATGAGGCTAAACTGAAAACTAACAAGTAGTAACTTGATTTTCTATCGAACTGAAGAGAGTTTGAAACGCAAATGAAGTTGTTGGACAAACTGATCTCTATTACTACAAGTTTGTGTTCAAATTCAAATGCGTGTAGTCCAAAAAAAGAGAAATCTGAATTCATAATGGTTTTTGTTAAATTCTTCTTCAAAAGGGTCTCAGACTACTCTTTGGCATAGGCTGAAGACAGGAAAAAATACCCATTTTATTGATACAACTCCTTGCATGTGCTATTGTTTCAATTTGCTTTGCAATCTCTCCAACAGTATGCATACCTAATTATTATTGTTATGTGACATTCCAATAAAGTATTTCAATCATAAATCTACATTAACTAACCAAAATTGTCCATTTAACAGAATCAATTTTCTTTATGGCTATTGATATGATCCTAAGTTGTAAGACCGCTTGTTGCTATCTTCTGTATAAGGTATAACTTAATATAAAAGAATTCCACAAATGCCTTCCCGATATCCATACATGCATGTTGAGTAAATTTTATCGCTAGAATATATGTGGTTTATCTGTAATGTATCCTTTTTCTATTCTCCAATCTCATAGCATATGGTATGTGTTCAGTACTTAATGTAGTCTTGAAATATCATTTATCACTTCAATAGAGTAAAGGAATACAGAAGCACTACAAAAAATCGAAAATATTATGGCAGTTATATTACGGAGGTTCCAAATAACCGCCATAAAATCTAATATAAAATGGCGTTTTAGAAGCCGCCGATTTAAAGTTATTTTATTATGGCGGTTATTTCGCCGATAATGTTTCAATCACAGCATTTTAATGACTTTCCCTCAATAGGTTTTAGTATTTCCCCCTCAAAATTTAAGACTCCCTCCAGAATTTGCTAAGTCTGGAATTCCCCCAATTTAACTCCTTCCCTTAATAGTTAATAGGTCTACGTTTCTCTTTCCCCAATTCCTTCCCCCAATTCATTCTATTTCCCCCAATTTCCCCGATTCGTTATATTTTCTAACTTTAGATTCTTCTATTTTTCCCAGTCTGTTTCTCCAGCTAGAAGAATCGAGATTCAAATCAGAAAAAGTACATGAAATTCGTTTAGCAGCTTCAATAATCTTCAGGTAATGATACATATTTAGTACCAAAAGTTCTTTGCTCTTTATTAGGGTTCATGCATGTTTGGAAGTGTAGCGATTTTCCCCAATGTTGTTCTAATTTTTTTCCGTCAGTCCGATAATCTATGATTCATTCAGTCAATTGAATATATAACATCCAAAATAGTAATCTATTACTAGAAAAAAGGACAACAGAACTACGATTGCTGTTATTAGAAAATATTACTAATCTAATGGTTTCAGTACTTTTTTCTTTTATTTTTGAGTCCATTTTTTGTTATTTTTCTGTTTAATTAGTTTGGTATTTCTTTAAAATTTTGCTGCTTTGTCTGGTATTTCGATTGCATGCACTTAATTTTGAAATTTTAAGTTGTTGGTCTTGCTAATATTAAGCTAAATATTATATATGGGCTTGATAGGTAGCCGAGGGATCAAAAACTGCTGGTGAAGCTATTGGAATCGACGTCGACAGTTAGACATTTGATAGGTATAACTCGTTTCAGTTTAATTTTGCCCCTTCTTTGGAGCAAATTTCTTTTTCTAAAGGTAATTTGGTTATTCTTAGTGTTGAGTTACCTCTTATCAGTGTAAATTAGTCATAGGGTTTGTTAATCAATAATATTACATTTGTAATATCGATAAAACTTATTCCAATTTCTCTTTAATGTCGATAAAAGCTATTTACTTTAAGAAGGCTTAATGAAAGTGCACCAGAATGATAAGGACATGAAATAAATTTTTGGTAGACTTCTGTCTTAGTAAGTTCTTGAGTAGGAGTGAAGTTTAAGTTATGTATGATTGAACATTATATTTTTTATAGTAAGTTCGCAAAGGATCTGAAGTAATAAGTTAACAGTTTGACATGTATAAGCAAAATTTTTGAGAGAAGAACTTAGTTCAGATTAAGTGAAAATATTCACTAATTATTGCAGGCTGCTACATGTAGAGCTTCTGATAGTTATGTCCTAATTCTAATGGAAGAAGTAAATATTTTCTATCTGCACTTTTATATCATTAAGAGGCTTCTTATTAGGTAATTTCTTTAACTAGTTGATCAAATCAAGATCAAATGTTAAGTTTCAGCCTTGAAGGTTTTCTCATAGGTTCCATCTAAGAAATAGAGCCTACTTTATCAACAGATTTGCACTATTTACTGCAGTATCTCAGTTTAGAAATAAAATACTATTTTTCTTGTTTTGCTATATACACTTTTATGTATGTAGAGATGCCGAAGCAAAATAGGGTTAAAAATCAATTCAAATCAGTCAAAGAGAGATCTTCACTTGTTCCGGGGCAGTCATCACAGGCTCAAGCTTCATCTTCAACATCTTATCGAGTCTCTTTACATCCTACACTGCCTACACAACCTACACGACCTGTTATTTCAGTTGATGGAGTCTCTTCGCAGCACGTTGTTCTATCTTCATCATCTGATGGAGTCTCTTCGCAGCATGTTGTTCCATCTTTATCATCTGATGGAGTATCTTCTCAGCCTGCCATTCCATCTTCATCATCTGATGTAGTCTCTTCACGGCAAACTAGACACACTACTAGTGATGAAGAGCCCCATTGGTTTGTCGATGCTATAGGTACATATAAATTTCAAGTGATTTAGTATTCTTTTTGTTTTCCTCGCTTAATGTTTTAACTTGACTTTATTTTGTTGTAGATAAACATCAAGTAATAGCAACAATTGTGGATCAACTTCCTCATACTTGTGAGGCAACAATTGTAAAATTTGGAAAGAAAGAAGAAGTATGACTGTCCGAGCAGTATAATGACTGCTTATTTTGAGTGTGGGAACCTCAAAACTGAGTTCTGCCAAACCCGCAGACTTTAGATGAAATCTGTTGCCTGATGTGCACGTATACACCAACTGTTTTTCATTTCGCTCGTAAAAAAAGAGTTAATCATTCTTTTTGTTCAAGCATAAAGTATTCGAGCTGATGGCTCGAATCTGTTCTGTTCTCTTTGTGTATAGTCTAAGGAGTTGAGGGCTAAACAGTGCAAGAAAAACAAAATTATTATGACAATGTGTATACAGAAGACAGCCAAGAAAGAAAAGCGTTAATGTCTTGTGCTACTAGGCAACAAGTAGTAGCTGAATATTGCAACTTATTTTCTTGTTTTTCCGTTATATTCTCTGTTGTATTTGGTTTCAATATAGAATGAAGTTTCCACAGCTATTTCTTTTTCTTTCCCTTGCGTTGTTCCATCTAACCATCTTCTGAAATAGCCATGTGATTTATGTGAACCAAGGATTAAAGTGAACTTGAAATCACAGCAGTGCAAAGCTAGCTTACTAGTAAATTTTTTTCTTGTGAAGAGTGAAGACATAATTCTGTTCAGTATATGATCTCTTAAATTGAGAAGTAAATTTTGAACTAAGTGTTTAACCAAAAAATGGAATTTTGACTAAAGCTATAATTTAGAAGAACACGGGTTACTGATAATCGCAAGAATGTATAAAAGAAAGTAATTTGAATAGCCAGAATATAATTGAATAAAATAAGTAAATCAAGGTATATTCAGATGATCTTTTGTGTCCCTACAACTGTTCAGTCCTCTCCTTTTATAGCTATTTCAGATGTAAGTGTCTTGCTTTGGTCATAATAAGGTTATTATAGGCAATAAATGACATTGAATGCTACGTTACATAATCGTTACATTTAAGACAGATTCTCTAACGTTTTCAGCATTTAATGCTTATCAAATACTGTATTTGGACCCTCGTATGCTGTCAGATTCATTCCCTTGACTCTTCTTGATTATTTAACTTAAATTTCTTGAATAGGTACGGGCGCTGAATCCTTTAAATAACCGCACGTGCCTCTTCCTTTGCTTTTGCTCGCATCTATTACCACTCGTGCCTCTTGGCTAACTGTAACTCTTTGACTATTTGACCAGCCTACGTGTCATGACACGTCATCTTCACACTTTTTTAATATGTAAACTCAATTTTTCCCAATACAGATAGTCCCCCCACTTGCCATTTATTCATCAATTGAATATTTGGGAAGTGGATTTCATTAAAACGGGAATTTTTGTCACCATTAATGCTGTGACAGAATTGACACTTCAATTGTCACTTCCATTTAATGCGTTTCACACGTGTCACCTTTCTATTGGTTCTGCAATTTTGCAGCACTTTTCTAGGCTTTCTTTTCGGCTTCCCTGTTCACGAAGTGTCAGTTATCATTATTATGGCCCTTCATCATTGCACTTTTTCCTTTGACGGTTGATCATCAATATAAATATAACTTCTTTCTTTGTCTTTGTCTCATAAAGTTTACCGAACACTTTATTTTTCAAATCTTTGTTTGTTTCCACCTCGTATCATCTTTTTTCATTATGTCTTCGTCGAACCCTAACCCTAGAAGGACTTCCATTGTTGATACCCTCCCTAGTGCTCTTAGCAGGGGCAGAAAGGGAGGTAGGCACCGCAGTTCGGGATCTACACGAGGCCCTTCTGTTTTATCTCCTGGTTCTGGCCCTTCTTCCAGAACCAGAGGTTCCCTTTCTCAAAAATCTTCCTCTAGGGGTAAAGAACCTTCTGAACCATTACGTGAACCTTTAGTAGAAGAGATAGTCCCTACGGAATTGTCTTTTTTTCATGACAGGGAATCTCTTAGGAATCAAGTTTCTACTTTAGATCGTGCTGATGCTTTTCCCACTCAGATTACAGAAATTTTGGCTCCTGTAGTTCGCAAAGATTGCCATTAGAGTGATGACTTTCCTATCATTATTCCTAACCCAAATCAGAGAATCACTTCTTATTTGATGGGGTTTTCTTTTGTTTATACATACCCTTTCACCTTAGGGTTCAAACCAGCTATTGACCCAGTCATTCTTGATTTTTTTCGTTTCTTCGACGTTTGTTTGGGCCAAATTGGCCCAATCATATGGAGGGTTATTTCCTGTTTAAGGCATTAACCAATTCTGCTGGTGTTCCCTTCACTTTCCCTCACTTAATTCATCTTTACTCCCCTAGGCTTTTTCGCAATGGTGTTTTCACACTAGTAGCCGGGAGTAAGGGGGTTTTGGTGAGCCCTGAGGATGACAAGGACCGTGGCTGGTATGCCCGGTTTGTTGCTGCCCCCACTGCTGGTTTAGTGGGTGAAGATAACGTTCCCTTCCCTGAGAAGTGGAACTTTGCACGTAAGTCTTTTATCCTGTTCGTGACTTTTTCCTTCAAGTTTATCAACTTTTCTAATTTTGCTTCTCTTTCTTCTCTTTTTAGCAACCATGGGAGTTGTGGGAGATGTTCCCAATTTTCGTGGTTGGGTAGACAGATTACTGAAGACCGCACCAATGGATGGGAGGTCTTGGAAGACACTTTCTAACCGTTTTGGTTGGAAAGTAAAGACTCATGGTAAGAGCTTCTTATTTTGTTTCATCTTTCATACATATGTTTCTCTTTATGGCTCTAATTTCAATCCATCTTTTTGTCAGGATTTGCTATTCGAGGAGTTACTGCCGAGGCAGTTGCGGCTTCTCGTTCTTCTTCTGGAACCTGTATCTGTGGAAAGGGCTCAAGAAATAGTCTTGGGTTCTTCGAAGAGAAAAGCCATTGAACAAGAAGATTCCAAAGAAGAGGAGGATGACGGGGGCTCTTTAGTGAGATGGCCTTGAGCTCGAAGACGCATCATTTCTGATGACGAGGCTGAAACATCCCCCCACCAATCTGTGTCTCTCACCGAGCCTACTGAAGCCCCGGTGGTAATTCCCGTATCTGATGATGACGTAACTCCCCTAGATACTCGTGAATCCATTGAACAACTTTTCATTAGTGGCTTCGGTAGTGGAAGTTTAGGGCCCGTTTTAGATGAAACTCCCCTAGCCTCTTTTTCAACTCCCGTGCCTATGATTTCTTTCTTACCAACCCCAGCTGTTTCTGTTCCTTCTTCTACTGTTTTTACTTCTTCTACCGCTCCTCCTTTGACAATTCCCCCTCCTATCGTTCATCATACGGAAGTGGGCTCTTCAAGTAGAAGTGCCGCCATGAGGAGGGTAACTATTGAAGTTCCTGCTGATAGCAGCCTTTTGAGAAAGTCAGGTCAGGCGGATGTATGGCTAGAGCCTTTAATTGGCCCAATTGAAAAAGCAAAGCTGGAGAGCCATAGTTCCCTGACCCTAATGAATGATATCGTGCACGCCACTTTGAAGGTATTTTCCTTCTCTCCAAGACATGTCATGGTCGCTTCCCGTGGGTAATTGTTGCTTTGGAAATCTTTTTATATGATACGCCATTGATCTCTTCACCCCCACTTATAACGTTGACAGTTCTTTTGGGAGAAGGTGGTTTTGGAGGCTCCTGCCTGTTCTTCATGTATGCTTGTTTACCTTTCTCACTGAATAACTCAGTGAGATACCCTTGTTTTAACAAATGATCAACTTCACCCTGCAAAAACCTGCAATCTGCTGTTTTATGCCCGTGATCGTTATGAAATTCGCACCAATGATCAGGGTTTCGTCTGTTTGGATTTGATCTCATCTCCTTTTTCCACCGTACCTTATCTCCCATGCTTCTTAAAACAGCCACGAGTTCAGAAGTGCTCACGTTGAAATTATAACCGCCAAACCTTGCCTTTAGACTTCCATCATCATCTCGTGGCTCACGTGCGCTTCGGTCACTCCCAAATCATGATGATGAGCTTGACTCTCTATTCCTTGATCTGTGATCGTACCTCTGATTGTCCTGTTTTGACCGTGAGTCTCTTCCCGCAGGTCCCATGTATGGCTCGTACCTATTTTTACCGGACCTTTTTTCGTTTTCAGCCCGTCTTGAGCTTATCTTTTCTTCTTTTTGATGTCGTGAAATAATATCTTCTTCAATCCTCAGTTTTGTGCTATAACGGTTGTAAACATCATTCCACGTTGTAGCTGGGAATTCACGAAGGCTTTCCTTGAGTCGCCTCATAGCTTCTGAGCTTTTTTCATTCAAATTGCTCGTTAATGCTATAGCTGCCCAGTTATCCGGTACACGTGGCAATGTCATTCTTTCACACTGGAATCTGTCCACTAACTCCCTAAGCAATTCTGAGTCCCCTTGTTTGATCTTGAAAATATCTTCCACTCTTTTTTTGACTTTTTGAGCTCCCGAGTGTGCTTTGATGAAAGAATCTGCAAGCTCAACAAAAGAATTTATAGAATTTTCGGGTAAAAGAGAATACCATGTTAGTGCACCCTTAGTGAGCGTTTCACCAAATTTTTTGACTAATACAGATTCAATCTTCTTCTTAGTCAAATCATTGCCTTTTACGCCTGTTGTGGATGCAGTCACGTGGTCTCGCGGGTCTGTTGTTCCATCGTATTTTGGTATATCAGGCATTTTGAATTTCTTTGGGATTGGAAGGGGAGCAGCACTTGGCTTCCAGGATTGTTGTGAATATTTATCCATATCTACCCCTTTGATCACGGGCGGCACCCCGGGTATTTGCTCTATGCGGTCACTTTGCTCCTTGAGCTGTTTCTGCAATGTTAGTACTAAATTTTGTAAATCAGAATTAACTAAATTACCTAGTTCTCCCTCCTGTGACTCGCTAGGGGTTCCACCACTACCTGAATTAACGAGCCCGGAACGAGGGTTCTCTAGAGTGTTGTTATTTGGTGTGGGTGTGGGTGGTGCAACAGGTAATTGACTAACAAAAGCCTGAAGAGCTTTATTGACTTGTGAGGAAATGAGTTTTTGCAAAGCCTCATCCATAGTTTCAACATTCTCGAATTGAGCATGTACATTTGTGTGAGACCCATCAGGAGTGCCTTCATGAGACCGCCGTGGAGAGCCTTGTGGAGAAGGAATCGGTACGTTATTGTTCTGTGGATCTCCCTGAAGTTGCTAGGTTGTCTGATTTTCTTGGTTTCCTGGAGCGTTATAATTGTTGTTTGACATGGTTGATGTAACAAGGAAAGTTAGGCTAAAATAAAATGGATTATCAGATTCCCGGTAACATAACCAATTTGTTTAACCAAAAAATAGAATTTTGACTAAAGCTATAATTTAGAAGAACACGGGTTATTGATAATCGCAAGAATGTATAAAAGAAAGTAATTTGAATAGCCAGAATATAAATAAAACAAGTAAACCAAAGTATATTCAGATGATCTTTTGTGTCCCTACAACTGTTCAGTCCTCTCCTTTTATAGCTATTTCGGATGTAAGTGTCTTGCTTTGGTCATAATAAGGTTATTATAGGCA